CTCTTTAGCCTTTTTTCGCCAAGGTTGGCTCTAAATCAGCCAGTATGTCTCTGACATGTCTCAAACTTGAATTTCACTTATAAGTCTGCCCCCAAAAAAGTGATAAAATCCCAAAATGACTCATCAATTCCAACCAAACCCCATTCAACCCCCCGCAAATAATGAGCTAACCGCATGCGATTTAAAACCACGATTTACATAATTTATAGGCCGAATAAATAAATAAATAAAATAAAATTTGATTATCAGAAAACAATTCAGATCACGATTGTGATTTCCCACAAAATAACAATTTCGATGCATTCGTGTCATTTTTCATGTACAATAATTGCATTTACCACATGAATGGATGGGTAGATTGTGTTTATGGAGTCGAAGAAAGAGAAGCACATTAATTTTCAGCATTTAATGAACTTTTTAATGATAAACTATAATTTACGTTCGTTAAAAAAGTGAGAGAAAAAAATGAAAAACTTTTTCTTGTGTTCGGTGGGGAAAAACTTCTTCATTTCCTCATTTTTAAACTTGTGGCAGTAGATAGAAATTGATAACTTTTGTTCTTTTAAACCAGAGGTGTGGGATGGAGTTGGAGAAGGAGGGGGGGTTAATATTGAGATTTTGCTGAGCTCGAAGTCGAATTGAGATTTTCATTGATTTTGTATCAACTTCGAGCTATGAAATTTTGTAAACGGAATGCTAAATATCGGATGTTTAATGAGAATTGAACCTTCGACCTCACAAAAAAGTGTTCAAATTTTGCAATCTGTTGCTTTACTACTCGGCGTTGTAGCTTTACATTCACACTTGCAGATTGACTTACATTTGCTTCCACTCTGCTCCAACCACCCAAATCCTCTTCCTTCATATCCAAACCCCCCCAATTCTTAACCATTGGAATAATAATCGTTATCTCAAAATTGAATTCCTTCCGATTGCACACTTCTGTTGTGGCATAAATTCATATCCATACACAATATTTTTTTCTTCGCCGCAGACACACAACAGAAGTTCCACTGATGGCGAGAGAAAAATAGAAATTAGTATGCTGAAATCGTTTTGTTGTCCTCTTTTTCATTCACTTTTCATGAATGTATATTTTTTTGACTCACAGACTTACTTATATAAAAATATTTAAATTTGAGGTTTTGAAGAAAAAAAAAGTTTGTTTTGAGGTTAAAGTTGTTAAATTTGTTTTTTTTTTGGGGTGGAATTGACCTAAATAATTGGTGAAGTCGATGTTTTTTTAAGGTAATAATAATTTTAGGTTGAATTCAATATTTTTTATGATTTGAGAAGCTAGTGATGATGATTTTTATGGTTTGATTGGTTGGGGGGGGGGGGGGGGGGGGGTGCACTAGTTTCTTATAAATCTGCAGTAGCATGACACCTACTCAACTCCAAACCTTTCAAAAACAAAAACTAGCCTCATTTCCTGCTTAATAAACATCTCCTGAAATTTATGCATAAACTTAACCAATAATTTACAACAAAACAAATAATTATCGCATTCGTAGAATTACAGAGATAGTAATCAGCATAAATAAACACTTTTCCATTCCACACCTCCTTGTTGCGTACAAATAGCACATGTAGAAGCAATTTCAAGCATTCATCTCAACATCATTAACATTCAAAAGCTTATCTTTCTTAATCTTTCTCTCTATTGCTGCATTTCTACAAGTTTTCTAACTTTTGTTCCACTTTTCTCACTCCATTATCGTTTTCGGAATTGCCAGCATAAGAAGAAGATTTAGATATTCGAATTTCAACTTGTTGGAATCATGCAGGAAATATGAATTGGAGCTTTAAAGTTTTCTTTTGTAGGTTTCTTCGAGATTTTGCGTTAAAGTAATGTAAAGTTTTTAAGTAAGATTCTAGCTTTTTGAAACAACATCCGACCACTCTCGTCTACTGAGAACAACCTTCCTCAATCCAGTTCTGCTTAAGTAATCTTGATGCAAATTTAATGTAATTAAAATTCTTAGAAATCACATAATTAGGTAAAGCTTAGTCAAAATTAAACATTAATCATGATTCTCATTAATCGTAAGTTCCAAGAAATCTGCCATAAGCTGTTTCAGACATGCTGATTATCTTTATTCGTTTTCAAGCTAAAAAGTTATGCGATTACAGCATAATTTAATTACATTAAATAAGGGATCATTCATTTATGACTTCCGAGATTTGGGGATGGGAAGGTCTAGGATTTTTCGACAAATAGTAACAGGGGAGGGGGTTGTTGAAAAATTTGAGACATCCAATTTTACAATAAGGCAATTTATTTTTTCACCAAAACTTTGATTGAACGTAACAAGTGTGGGGGGCAGACGCGTAGGCAGGGGGGCGAAACTAATCACAAAAATCCCCCCCGCCCGCTAAATTTTTCAATACAAAAAATTTTTTTGCCCCCCTCTTCAAATTCCTGTCTACGCCCCTGGTGGGGGGGTACTGGCATCTATGACAGTTTTTTGACAGAGAGGGGTTTAAAAATCATGTTTTATTATGAACATCATAAGTGAATGGCCCCTAAGCTGAGTAAATGTTTTGAGGAACAGAAATTGATGATATTTAGAAATTAAATTATGCATATCTGGAGCTTTGAGAGATGCTATAATTAATTTAAAATTACTCATTAAAGATCAATCAATCTATAGACATTTAGCAAGATCATGACAAAATCCAATAACTTTCTCAATATTTCCAGAATTTTCATTTATTTATAGCTTGAAGAATGAATTATAAACTTCATGACATTGATAATTATTTGCCAAACATACAAGAAAGCTAGAAATAAGAATAACTTTTAAAAAGCACCGCTAGCAATTCATTCTTGAATCAAATCAAACAACGAGTTAATTTTCATAATTGTCAAACAAGACACAAATTTCGAAGAAGTTAATTGAAAAAGTAACTTGATCATTATCAGTCATAAACTCAGAAAATAACAGCGAGAAGAATCTTGTCAACAGTCTAGCACACAAAAAGTATTTTTTTATTACTTAAAGCATTGTGTGTTGCACGGTGTAAAAAAATTTAAAACCATAAAAGAGAGACGAATAGAATTTAATTTATCTTCCTATGTAAACGATGCTCTCGGCAGGTTAAATAAAGAAAGGATGGGAAAAAGGTTTTTTTGCGAGAATATTACAAAAGGAAAAATGGGAGTGGAAGTCTCTATAAGGATGAAAAATCATGGATTTTGTTCACGGCATTCATTGAAAATTGTTTTCAACAAGAATAAGTAGGAAAAGTAAGTACTTCATTATGATGGCATGATATTTAAAATATGTTCACTACGTGACGGTTCGCTTGGATGCCTTCACTTCTTAACAATTTGAATACAACTGCTGTTATTGCTTCTTCCTATTTTATTTCTTCTCGCTCACTTACTAACTTACTTTTTGCCTTCAATAAAGAGAAAGACATAAAAGTTTGATGAAAACTAGCAAAAAAAGCATGAGTCGGGGAGTTTTTAAGGGATGTTATGTGCGCACTTAACCTAGATATGTTTGCGTTATAGACAATTGTGTAATGATGAGGTCTGGGTATCATAAACAAACCACTACGACCCACATCTAACCCAATTATTCACAATAGCATCCACTACCCAACATTATATCCTGTACTCTAACGCATTGCTTATCCCAATCCTCATTCCATGCCCAATCCAATGAGCAACTAAACCCTACTATTAACATGAACAGGACAGGTCGGTTAATCGAATAGAAATCAGGCGCTAAACTGACATGACTCTAACATGGTGCTGGCTTCGATTTAAATCAAGCTCCTTTTCAGAGTCACACCAGCTTGGTGCCAGATTTCTGATCGATTAACCGACTTGTATCATTGACGTTATCATACCCAAGAGTAGGAACAAATAGACCAATAAAACAGCAAAAGATGCTGAAGCCTTTAAGTCAGTGTTGCCCAAACTTTATTCAGCCACGTCACTCTTTAACTTTAGATATTGTTCATGGCACATCTATAAATTTTTTTTAAAAATCATCATTTTTTATGTTCTACGGCAAACCAGTGTGTCACAGCACACAGTTTGGACAACAATGCTTTAAGCAAATGATGTACACATACTGTGTTTTTTGCTATTGTGAACAATTAGGTGGTGGACCACAACTCAGGTAGGCTAAGCTCAATATATCCAATTCCATATCAAACTAGTCACAACACTCAATTCTCACTTTAACCCAAACTGATCAATCAATCCAAAACCATACCCTACAAAACTTTGCATCACCAGAGGCAAGACAATGAATTTAATGATGGACATGATTGCTTCACGCCTTGCTTTTATGAATATGAACATCAAAAAAGTATTCAATTCAAAATATGGTATTAAAATTTTTTTCTCTCACTCTATGCTGTTACTGATGCTGGTTCTCTGTTGTTTTATGATTTTCCATACAGCTATTACATAGAAATGTGTACAAATTAGATAATGATGATGATGCTGATGTTGGTTGTTATTAGTATAATGCGCAGTAGCAAAGTCGAAAAATTATTAAATTTTATTAGATGAGACTTTATTACTTTTGGAAATTAAACCTTAATGGCCTTTTCATGCTGTAGATTTTTGATTTTTTTTGGGGATGTGCTGGTTGATAGAAAGTTGAAGGATTGGTTGATGTGTTGTCGGACTGATTTTTTGGAGGATATTGGGTATGGGGCAATGCTATGACATAGTGTAGTTGGTGTAGTTAGGGAATATAACTCGAAATTGGTAATAAGCTAGAGCTTGACTGCCAAGGGATCTAATTCTCAACCCCAATGAGTCAATTATTGACTTTTATGTTTACCACTCACCTGTGAAGAGTCTGATGGGTCTGAGAGGCATATCGAAGTGGTTTTCTGAAGAAAAATCATAGAAACTTCTCATGAATTAATCAATCATTCTCGCAGGAAATGCGTGATTCATCCAACTTCCACTTCCATTCGATGCTGTAAATAAATCATTCATTAATGAACCTTATCCATTACTTAATTTTCATAATTTTTTATTAGGTAACAGTAAACAGAAAACAAAGTTTCTTCTTATTCTACGAAGCAGCAGCATCGACTCACTGTGGGAATATGATTGCCGTTGGAATATCAGATCTCTTTGTTGAAGCATCGATTGGCTGTGATGCTGGTCTTGGATTGCATGCAATTCTTGTACAATAGCGTGGACGTTTACCATCAGCAGCACACCAACATGTGTTACAATCAACCTTAAATGAAAGTGATGGAGTGCATGTAAAATTTGGATTCTGTAAGTCTTCGAGCTTGTAAATTGTTTCCCCACCAGAAGTCGGTTGATATTGATTTATTGTCTGTCGCTTCCTCAACGAATGATTAATCGCTGGTGCTGGTAAATTTATTTTTCCTAAGCATCCTCTCAATGTGCATGCAGCAATGCCAGTTGATGTGCAATAGCACCAATTACAATCCTGTTGCCATCTTGATCCGGGAGTGCATTCATCTGGTCTTTGTGTTCTTGATGCTGCTGTTGTTGTTGGTGCTTTTGTTGTTGTATCCACAGGTAAGAGAACTGGCTGTGATTTACGTTGCAGTGTATAGGATGTACGGTCGTCGCAACCTAACTCAATACAATCAGCATGATTGCCATGTTCATTACATGTACATGTGCTACATTCATATCTAAATACTTTATTTGGAGTACAAATAAAACCCGGTCCATTTGGTGGAATTGTTTTTATGAATTTTGGACATGCTTTTTTCGTACACATCCATCCGAGACCATTTGCTGAACACCTACAGCGATTACAATCCTTAAATGACATGGAAATGTTAATTAAGGACATAAATAATTTTAATGAATCAACTTCCTACCTGCATTTTTGTACTTTGTGGCTCACAAACTTGACTTCTTGTGTCAATGTTGCTGTTGAGGACTGTTTGGCCTTCGACATTTGGTGACGCCTTTGCGTAATTGCCTGAAGTGATTAAAAGTTTATTTATAAAAATTTTGTTTTGTAATTAATGAAAATCAATCGTTGTTTAATTAGATTCTTTTGAGAGGATTCGGGGGTAGTGCATAAATGATGGGACTTAATTAGAGCAGCACTGCTGATTTCTAGTCGCAGGATTATTTCTATTCTGGGGTGTGTTAATTATTATTTATTCTCAATTTTATTGATTTTTAAGTGAAGCTATAAAGCATTTGAAATCAGCATTGAACTGAGTCATCACTTGTGAATACACCACAAGAAGCATCAAAAATATCTTTAATAAATACTCAAAGGTTATCAGTTAACAAAAAAATTCAATTGATTAAGAAAAGTTCATGATAGGAAATTTGACAAAGAACCTTGAACAGTAATTGATTTTTGAGTAAATTTAATCAAGTTTAAAAGTCATTATTTTCAGCAATTAGAATTGTTTGAAGACTTTTCGGTATCTTGCTTCTCATTTGATAGTATTTGATGCTAATGAGAATTAAGGAAGTTTATTTTTTAACTCAAAAAAAAAGAACAAAGGAAGTTTTATTAAAAGTTTGGAATGAAAATTGAATCAGACGATAGAAAAATTGATAAAAGAGATTTGAAAACTTGTGATTGATAGGAACAGACTAAACAATGGAATGACTCTCTTATGAAATCCACTAGAATTAGTTATTCATAACTGAATCATTTAGGAGAATCAGATCTCGAAGTCGATAGGGTTCGAGTCGACTAGAGTTGACTCGACTTAACTTTTTTTGAATCGATTTCATTTTCTCGGAGTCTTTGAATTTTTGACTCTGAGAAAATGAAGTCGACTCTAGTCGACTAGAAAAAAATGAAGTCCATTCGAAAAAAGTTGAGTCAACTCGAAAAAACACGAGTCGACTTTGAGCTCTGGGCAAAATTACTGCAAAAATCAATCAAAATAAATTAATTTTGTTCCTAGCGTTGAGTTTATTGTTATGCTGGATTCTAGTGTAAACAGTATGCAGTCAATGAAAAGATGTGACCACAATACAATTTGTTATGCAATTTTATCATCGAATTTCAAAATATGTCAACATTATTGCACAAATATTTACGAAAAGCAATCAAATTTTAGCGAGAATACTCAGAAATAGCTCAAGCTTCCATCTGATAATTCTGAGAAGTCTGTGTAAATAAACTTTTCACTTTGCATCTATTTTTCCTAGAAAATTCAATGTAAATAAGTTTTTAATTTAAAACTGAGATTCCCCTAGACATTGCGATTAATTTACAACTTTATCATCAATTCCTATTAGACTCAAGAGAGTAGCTTAGTGCAAATTCTCACATTTCTCTGAGCAAAACTTTTACTCATTTACAGAATCTCCTGTCAATCATCAAAATGTAATTACTCCTGTCACTTTTTCACTATTCATAAAAATAAATATAAACTTACAGCAAAGAGTCCCAAGCATGACAATCACAATGACTAAGCACGTTCTCTTCATATTTCTTATTATTTGTTAAGCAATGTGAAAGAGAGAATCTTGAAAAACTAGTTGTCGTTAGTGATAATGTTGTTAAGCGATTATTCGTCTACAAAAAACACACACTTAATATGTTGTTAACAGTTCGCGACTTTTAATGAGACTGAGTGACTTATTTTCATATTCTCATTCTTTATACAAGATTACTTTAAAATTGAGAGTCTTTTTGAGTGTATTTTTGAGGAATCTCTTGAATTATTGACAGTGAGACAGATTGAGATAAATGAATCTGTGATGAATGTGAAGCACTTTTTTGGTATTGACGATAATTGAAATTCCAAATGCGGATCTTTAACATCTGGATGCATTTTGAATATTTAGTTTGGAGGTTGTGAAAGATTTATGGTAATTTTTGAAAGTTATGTAATTATTTGTGAATAAGATGCTTGACAAAAATGACTTACTGCATGTTATTGAGTGAAAATCGAACCCACGTCTGCATAAAGGTTTTGATTCTAGATTTTCAGTATGGTGACTAATCTCTCAACCACAGAGGCTTTATTCTTACATTGGCAGATTCGAATAGAAGTCTTTGATAGTAAATAAAGATAGGCTTAGACCTACTTTACCTGAAAACTTACTTTCTTACTAAGGAGGTTTGTAATTGTTTATAGACACATGATTTCCAGCGGTGTCTTTGCAAATTTAATGTCGTAGTCGAGTCAAGTCATTTACAAAGTGTGACAAAAGTAAGGTATTCAGCCATTTTTGCAGGAAATTAATTAATACCTGTCAAATGACCATTTTTAATGAATGCCTAGTTTTAAGAACAAATTGTTGCATTTAGATGTCATTAGCACCCTTCATTACAAGACATTCAATTATCAAGTTGCCTGCTCAAGGCTGTAAGTCATGTAAATATGGTTGTCAATTAATGTACAAGTCGAGTTGAGTAGCACAAGTTAAGTTACACAAGTCGGATAATTGAAAGAAAATGGCGTGAAGTCGTGATTTTTCGTGTGACGAGAAATTTGGCCTTAAGTCGTATCTAGAGTCTAAGCGTAAGATTTCGTCTCGATTATCCGACTTGTGCTATTCGGGATAGGCTAGTTCAAAGTACTATGCCATTGAAATTGTAAGCATTGGTGCATCATGTTACTAAATCTGCGAAAACATTGACAATAAAGCATCAAAAATTTTTATTTGCATATTCTTTAACTTAATCTTAAAAAATTCAATTTAACAAACTAAAATCAGCATATCAATATACTATAAGTAGCAGCTAAGAAGGCAGACATCAGCGATACATTTTAAGTAAGAAATTAAGTATCTCTTATAAAATAGAAGATTCAACTTCATGATTTCTGTGCATTTCCACAAACTTTTTTGGTACAACGCGCACCTTTTCCATCACTGCTGCACTTGCACGAGTTACATTCCAACTTAAAATATTCATGTGGTGCACATTTAAAATCAGCTCGATTATATTCAGCCATTGTAAAAGTAGGAATTGTAGATGGTGGAACAGCAGGAACACGCAAGCTTCTCGATTCATTTGGACCCAAACATCCTCGCAACGTGCAAGCACCGATTCCCGTTTCTGTACAAAAGCAGTCATTACAATCGCTTTTCCAGTGCTCACCAGGCGTACATTTCTTATCTTGTCCAATTGAGCGTCTTTGTCGTATGTTGATGCATGGCAAATGTGTACATGATGGAATACCGGATGCTATAAAAAAAAATAAATGCGCAAAAAATATTGAGAATTATTTTGTAAGTTTTATGATTTTTAAGAATTGTGAGTCATAAAATGTTTTTCAAGTTCTCAGGAATTTGTAAATGTTTTCGTCATGGTTGATTATTATCGGGGAAAATTCCTGCATGCGTTGTCGTAAACAGAACAAATAAAACTTGTAAGGAAGCTCTTATTGTGGTATTTTTAAATGATGGTAAAATTATTTTGTAAGTTTGAGATCTAGATCATGGTCAGTAGTTCTATAGTGAGCTTAAGGGCATGGCTGAACACATTCACTTGCATTGGTGCTGGTTTTAAAGACCTAATTTGTTATTGTTCCCGAATGGCACAAGTCGGTTAATCGAATAGAAATCCATCGACCAAGCTGTCATGACTTTGATTTCAGATCGATTAACGGACTTGTGCCATTCGGGGTTGTCCATGACAACCTTATATAATCCAAACTAGATTAATGGTAGTTAATCAAGATTCAACAGGATTCGAACCAGCACTAGTAAGTAAATTAAACGTTCAATCAAATACTCTATGTTGTCGACCACTGAAAACATTCCCTTAAATTAGCTTAAGCTACAAAAAACAAACTAGTGCTACCTTAACTCAATCCACTCATGATATGACTCTCCACACAACTCTTTACTCAAAATAAAAATATTTACTTACAGTCACAAACACAATGATTGCATCCATCAGACAGAACGTCTCCAGTTCTACATCCTCTCACCAGAACACTTCTCTTTGCCGTTCGCTTATGAATTTCCCTACTCGGACATGGAATTTTCGTGCAGAACCATCCAATACCATTAGCAGCACATTTACAACGGTTACAAATGTCATTATTCTCAACATTCATTTTAATTTCATTAGGTGTACAGACTAAATTGCCATTACTGTTAACAACATTGTTGCTATTATGCACATATGAATCTTCTGTTGTTGTGATTAGATTGACTTCTGTCGTTGACTTTATCGGTAGATGTATGCATCTCATTTGTGTGCACACTGCAGTTATGCCATTCGGATCGCATGAACATGTGTTACAATCCATTTTAAATACTTCATTTGGTGTGCAACTAAAATCTTTGTCATTGCTCGTGTGACCTTCAAAGTATAAATAATTTGTTATATATACAGCATTAAGAGAGATTTAGATGAGATTCTTAATTCTTCTTCTCTTGTCAAAAAAATTAATTTTGTGTCTTATCAATTTTTGAAATTTTTTTGTTGGAAGTATAACGCGCCTATTTTATGATTAATGACGTCATGTCGCATGGGCCGGTTGTGGGATTCAATGTAATTTTTGATTTGAAGTTTTTGGGAATTTTCTCCTTGAGTTTATTAGCTTCTAATAGAGATTTAATGGCGTAAAGGCGATGTAACTGGAAAAACGGGCTTTAAGCAAGGGACCAGACTCAATAAATGGCTGTCATATCAAAAAATGAACCGATGGTAGCACTTTGCACTATTTGATAACTTATGTCTAGTCTGATAGCTAATTACTTGACTGCCCTAACCTAGACCTGACAAGTTTGACTCCAATTTCTATAAAATATAACCAATCTTAACACCAAACTCAATTAGGATGTCTTTATGTCAAACTGCATTGTTATTACTGCTTCTGATGACCTATGACTGGTCAGTTTCCTACCTTACCCTCATCCTGACAAGTCTAACTCCAAAAACCCAAGATTACATCTAGTGTTACCATTAAACTCAATTATTATAGCTATAAAGTCACTCAACACAGTTATTAAAGCATCTTAATATTGACCAGCAAGTCTAAATTTCAATGATTGGATTGACGTCACTTAAAAACAATCCCCTTGACCTTTCTCAAGAATTAAACCTCAAATCTTGATGTTTTTCGAATTTTTTCACATTCAACCAAGATGAATGTGATTTATGAAGCTCCCGAACAATAAATATCCATAAATTAGAACATGACATTCAAAAATAAATAGACACAAATCCGAAACACTCAAAATACGTAATTTTCCGCGCCATAAACGACAAACGTCATCGACAGATGTCGGAGGGTCGACGAGGTCAAGAAGAATGATGAATGAAGTAAGAATAATTTTTTTTTTGAAGCACAATGAAATTAGTTCAAGTTTAAATTGTGATTCTTCATCCTTAATCCGCCTCCCTTCTGAAGTTCTCTGCATGTAACTTATTATGAATGTATAAAGAAGCCAAAATATTCTTAATTACCAAACACCGACGCATTAAGCACGAGGAATAAAATGAATTTATTCATTTTTAAACACAGCTTAATTTTCTCCTTAATATTCACGTTGTTTACTTTACTCTATTCGTTGAGAGACTGACTCGTTAAGTACTTATATACAATAATTTTGAGGAATTATTTTTCATTTGTTCTCACAAAAGGCTCACAGATTGTTCTTTTTATTTTTTGGTGAGAGAATTAATCACAGAATTTTTCGAATTTACGTTCTTCCTCAGCACTTACGATTGCTACATCTTCTCATAGAAATTAGAAGAAACAACATTGGAATTTATTTTATTCTTTTTGTTTGTTTGAGAAAAAAAAAGTAAAATTTTCTCACTGATTCAGCATTTAATGTGTAAAATTCAGCACATTTTTCGAGTATAATGGTTGCAGTGATGTGCTTATAAAGTCTGTCAGTATTAGGGAATTTAGATGTTAATAGCATTAAATAAAGTTAGAGGATTTTTACTCGTCTATTTAAACATATTACTGCTTGACTTTGTTGATTGTGCTGAGGTATCAAATTAAAAATTTTGGAATAAAAGGGGATTCGTTCATAAATGATGTCTATCTATTAAACTGGATTTATTAACATACCCGAATGACACAAGTCGGTCAATCGATCAGAAATCCGGCACTAAGCTTGTGTGACTCTTTCATGGTGCTGGATTTAAATTGAAGCCAGCACCATTCCAAAGTCATGCCAGCTGGGTTCCAGATTTTTTATTCGATTAACCGACTTGTGTATTCGGGATATGTCAACGCTGTTTTTAGTCTGTCATGGAATTTTCTCAATATAAGCATTTAAAATCCTGTCCATACGAGGTCAGAGGCCGGTTTTTTAAAAGTTTTAAGTTCACCTTAATGGAAAAAGTCCGTAGATACAGGCTCTAAGTTATGATTAAGGTGCAAAGGATCAATCACAGTCCTCCTTTTGCTCGAAAAATGTTTGACAATGCCTCAAAATGTGAAATTTAGATTCGCACCTCAGCTGTGCTACTGAAAAGTATCTATGTGATTTTATTTACTTAGTAGCCACTGTTTCTTCCAATACAGGATGTCTTAACCACACTATTGAAGTTATGTCAATTTCAGATGACCCGTTCCTACTTCTAAATTAGTGTTGTCCAAACTTTTTGAGCCACGGCACAATTTACGAGTAAGTCATGACCAAAGTCGACAACAGCATGAGGAATCATTTCCAAAAAGGTTCAATGGCACACAGTTTGGACAACACTACTCTAAATGATAGACATCATTAGTGAATATTTTTCCCAAACCTCCTGTAATGTGATTTAATTTACCGACTTTGATGAGCTAAAAGGATTTTTCTGATTGAGCGTGAAAAAACAGAAAATAAAATTCAATCATAGCTGAAATGTTTTAAGAGGATTTCTTTATTTTTTTTTGTTGCGATTTTCATATCGTAGATTGAATGGATTGAACGGTGAAATTGGAAGCGATTTGGTTTCTGTGTAAATATTCTGATACGATCAATAATTTGTTTGGCTAATTGGATTACAGATTGTTTTTTTGAATACGAAGATGATATCAGATGGAAGTATATAGTAGAAGTGGAGAGGGGGAGGGGGAGGTTGGAATTTATTATGGAATAAAGAAGGTGAAAATTTGTTTTAGATTTTTATCAGGACATCATGAATGTAGGAAATAGATTCTCGATCAAGATTGCAATGCCTGCTGCTCATTGTGAAGAAACACATCATTTGGAGGGAAGGGGGGGGGAGGGAGGGGGGTCGACATAAGAAGATGCTCAAACTCTTCCTCATCCTCAAAAGAGTAGGTTTTAGTTCTTGGTACTCCTTAAAATGACAGAATCTACGCATGGCCCGGATTCTACTTGTCTATAATTAGGCTGACCATATGCTTGGTTTTTCAGAAGGCAGTCCTCTATTTTTTCATTTGTCAAATTTTGCTTTGTTCTAATTTGTCCAGAAAACGAATAAAATTGGTAGACACGTGGGATGTTTTCTATTTTACTTTCAGGTCCTCTATTTTATTCCAAAAAAACCTGGTCACCCTATCTATAATACGCTCTGTTCTGATATACAACAAGCTATCGAATATATTCTTTCTTATTAAATTATTAATATTTTGATCACTTAAACAATATCATAACAATTATCATCAAAACTTTTTCTAGATCGAATAATCTGTTAACCCACACACATCTCTGACCTTTAGGGAAATTTACATCTAGTAAGAATCACAGCTAAATGCGCCATTCATGTCAGATTTTATTGTTAAGAAAACTTTTTATTTTGTCTAATTTTTTATCATCTCATCCAATATTTATTCAATTCCATATATGATTATGGTAAATATTTGAACAAACAGAAAACATTGTAGGTGTATCTCTTAAAATAAGCTCAAACGTAAGCAGACGAAGGCAAAAAAAGGGAGCATCGAGCCAAATGAAGTTGAAGGACTATTCAAACTAGATGAGAAGAATCAAATTCAGCTGAGCATCATCAATTTGTTCATTTAAGAGAGCATTTACCATTTGACCGTATAAATATTTACCAAAAGTGGCTTCGTATACCACTCAGGTATCATCAAAAATACAACTTTTCATCCACTTTATTCGCTTTATCCTTTTTTTTCCTCTCTTTACATCCACTGATGATCCACTTGATGTTCTATGTTAAATAAAATAAGAGTTTTCGGTAAAGCTCAAGTGTTGTTATGTTATTCACGTACAAAGTTTTCCGTAATATTCCAACTCTTGATGAAGGCAGGAGGGTGGATGGAGAACGAAAGTAATTTTATTTCATATGTATTTGCACAAAAAATTTAACAAATTGGAATTTGTCAGAAAGTTTCTCTCTATTCTGACTTCTTTTTGGCATTCATGCATATAAGTGTAAATAATAAAATAGCAGAATATTTTTTTGGTATGCATCATCAATATTATTATGATCATTATTGACTATAAGATTTAGTTTTATCACACTAGAGGGATTTGAAGCGTTTATTGGCTGAATTATTATTGAATGTGCTTTAAATTTGGGTTTTGAATCCAATGTTTGGTAGTGTTATGTTGCAGTTGATGATTAAGTCTCATTTATGGCTTTTATTGAGTTCAAATTGTTACCAAGAATTCACGGGAACTGCAGTTTAGTTTGTGACATTTAACAACACTTCATGATCCCTACTAGCTTGTTTCTAACCAAGAATAGTCAAACTCGAGGGATATTGAGGGAACCTAATATTAAAAATTCATCGACAACACTCTGAGGCATAGATAAACATTTATTGGAACTAAGATAAGAGGCCGTTCACTTATGACGTCCGACATTTAGGGGGGAGGGGGTCTAATATTTTGTGACAGTTCAAACAATGGAAATTTTTTGACGTCATAGGTGAACGAACCCTAAGGACAATAGTGCATTTGATGTTGGTAATTGGCAAACTGTCAGTGATAGATCCAGCTTCAGATGCCATCTAAGGGAGGCCATGGATCACAATTGATATGTACGGTCAGTGAAGTAAGTCCACTTTAGACCGATTTATAAACTCATGGTCATCTCCCATAATTACTTGATGTCTATTGGTGTCTATTCCATCAGTTCAACAGATGCTTTCCAAGCTCATATATCTCCAGACTGTTGCTATTGTAACCACTTAGCGGTTGAGTCGTTCCTTATGCACTGACAGATGCCCCTATAATTGAGATTCCACCCTGCTTTGACACCACAGATGTAAACAACACCTCTCATCACAAACACTTCCCTGCTCAACATATGCACATCACCTAAATCCCCACAAAAATGCGTAAGTTCCATAAAATTCCAAATACATATCTACGCATACCAAACATCCATTAAAATTTAAATTTTTCGGTCCGAAGCTCATAAAAAAAAATTTCTATACACAAAATAATGCCACAGACCCAATAATTCCAACTAATCCAAATATATTGGCAATTCACAGTGAAATACGATCAAAACAATGTGATTCATTGACCGCATTTGACGCATATATGGATGGTCAATGTTGCCATTCCCCCTTTTGGCACTTTTCCACCCATCATATCGAATCCCCACATTTAATCTATATAATATAGAATATATGATTTTTTTTGCCATAAGTGGATGTCCATATGTATCAAAAAAATTAGTTTGTCGACATAAAACTCCCAATTGCTGATGATAATGCAACAGTACTGAATCTGAAACAGTTGAAATTATAGAAAATAAGATTTATGAGATGGAAGTTGCTCGTATTATTTAGTACAATATTGTGCATTACCTCCTCTCGCTTTCATTCTCACAATTTTTATTCTCCTCACACTCTTGATTCCACCTTAAATTCTCATGCTTTATTGCAGTGATGGTTAACCTTTATTGAGGTTTGGATCTTCACAAAATATTTTAAATTATATCTGTCAATTCTTTGTTATTGTGTCGCGACTCAAAGGTTGACCATCACTGCTCTTTTGTAATAAAAACTTTGGTTTTTTTTATACTGGATGAGTTTTATTTTTTGTGAAAATTCTTATAGCTTGCGATTGCACAATGATGCTTTCTGAGTAGATATAAGTATTATTATCTGCATCACCAATCGAAGCGTCGAAAATGCAAGAAATTGACACAATCAATAGCAATAATTTTACAAAAAGTTCTCTCGAAATCATTTTGAAGCAATCTGAAATGGGAAAAAGTATTTTTTTGGAGTTTTAAAAAATATTTAAATTGATGTTCTCATTTTTTTGTGTTGAGAATATTGAGATGTGGAGATTGAAGTTTTATTTGGATTTTTGTAAGCTTTTAATGGATTTCTGATTTAAAAATTTGTGAGGTTTTTGCAAAACACTCTACACTTCAAAAAGAGCTGCTAGCGATCTACAATCAGGGGTAAACAACCTTTTCCATTTCGGACTTTATTTGTACATAGTGAGTGTTCACGAGTTCTCCCGCTTAAACCTAGACTTACAGTTCAAAGTGAGATTAAAATCTTGTCATAAAACCAACCAGAAGCCAACTTCTGCCATAAGAGGTCATTCAAAAAACATTTTTTTACGCCCCCTTCCCCTTTTGTCACAAAATTTGTATGCAAAATAATTCTTTAGTTTGAGAGACCTCCCTCCCCCTAAATGTTGGACGTAATAAGTGAACATCTAAGCACTTGACCGGCAATCAGGAGGTGAGAGGTTCGATTCCCGTTTGGGATGAACCATTGGGTGATTTCATTGTTTTCAACGTTTTTTGATAAGGGGCCATTCACTTATTACGTAACGCTTTTAGGGGGAGGGGGGGGTCTAAGATTTTGTTATGGTTCAAACAAGGAAATTTTTTTTTCATACAAATTTTGTTACGAGGGGGGGGGGGGGGGGGGTCTAAGAAGTCATTTTTTCGCGTTACGTAATAAGTGAACAGCCCCTAAGGGGTCGTTCACTTATTACATCCATCAAAAAACCTGATTTTTAGACTCCCCCCCCCCCCCTGTCACAAAAATTTAATAGAAAAAAATTTCCATTATTTGAACTGTCACAAAATCCTAGACCCCCCTCCCCCCCTAATTGTTGGACGTCATAAGTAACCGGCCCCTATTTGTATTTAACAAGCAAAAATCTTGTTGAACTATAAAGTTCTTTCATTTAGTAGCTCAATAAGTGAATGAGCCTTAAACAGATTTTACAATTTTCTTAGAAGTATTTGACAGAGGGCGAAGTCGACTCGAAATTTGTATGAAGTCGAGTGAACTCAAGTCGACTTTTCCATACAAAATCCGAGTCGACTTCGCCCTCTGGTATTTGAGTCTCGTTTCCTTGTTCTTTGTTCTTTGTTTTCATTTTCATTGAAACAAAGCAGTGATTATGTGAGGTGAAAAAATTTGGGATTTTCCTCGAACCTTAGGAGCCGTTCATTTATTACGTAACGACTTTTTAGACCACCCTCCACCCCCCCCCCCCCCTTCGTAACAAAATTCGTATAAAAAATATTTCTTTTGTTTGAACTGTTTGAACCCCCCTCCCAAAAGCATTACATAATAAGTGAACGGCCCCTTTTGATGTGTATGGTTTTGGTCATTGCTTACCACCAAGTGTGCGCTGGCACAAAAAAGATTGGACACTACTAAAATAAAGCAATTGAAATTTCCCAATGAATCTACCTCAAATATCCACTTTTGAATATAAAATCCGATGAATTGATAAATCAATACCATTAAAAATTCCATAAATATCAGCCATTACCAGCCTGTTGAAAAACCAAAAAAATAAAATTATTTGTAAAGTGATATTGAAGGTATCAATTATTGAACTGATAGGCAGTCATCAATAATTAATATGAAATATTGTGAGTGTCTCTCGACATACACATCGGTTGAAGACAGGGATGGAGCCAGGAAAATAGGTTTCCACAAGTATTGTTTTTCGTCCAAACTTAGCTATCCAGCTAGGATGTAGTCAGAAAAAAAGGAGGGGCGGATGTCAAAGAAGTTTTAGCTACACCCCTGTTTAAAGATGCTAACAAAGCACCAGCTCGTGCTTCGAATAAATATAAATTTTTTTTATTGAAACAAATGCTCGATATTTTTTTTTGTGTATATGAATTTTAACATGAATAACTCATACAAAATAAATATGAATAAATATTTAAAATACAAAAAATAATAAAAGAATTGCTCATGAACACCATTTAAGACTGCAAATAAATGATTTTTTATTGTGATTCTCGTCGCACGTACACATGTTGCACTCGTCTAAGCGGAAATTTTTACATTGTTGTTTTGGTGGAACAGGACATCGTATTGAGTCACCTGCTTGCAGGCAAATGCATCCTCTTACGGGAAAGTCGTATATTTCGCCAGGACCGCAAGCTGTGTGTTTTTGTGAATTTGAATTTTTTGCGAGTAAAATTATTCAATATTGTGGCTATTTAGAGGGTTCAATGTACCTGTGTCAGCATTGATATTGCTAAGGTATGCTGCAAGTATCACTAAAAATGCAAATATTGTTCGAACCATCGTACAACTAGACGAATAGTATTAAACTGAATGCATGTTGATTAGAAATTTTTTTTAGCTTTGAATATTTCATATTTTTCTTCTTTTGTTCCGCATTTGGGTCAATGTTACTCTATATACTGCATCTTTAAATTGCATAATGTCTCTGTAGGCATTTCATGTGTGTGTCTTTGTATGAGTTTTGTTAGATTTCCAATGATTAGGGCTTGAAAAAGGTATTCTAGGATATTTCAAACTAGATAGGATGTTTACTATCCAAGGGTCTTTCTGACATTTTGTTATGAAATAGACTGAAATATATTTGATGACTTTACGCAATTTTTGATTGACTCTTCACATTCTATTAATAAACTATTTATTTCCTGTTTATGATTAATTCAAGTTTACTTCAATGATACATTTATTTACAAGCCTAGGTTAACTCTTACAGCTAGTTTCTATCTTGCCTGAAATGCACACGGCGTAAAAATGACTGCCAATATGGCTTCTCGAGTTGACTCGAGTTGACTCGTCTCGTCTCGTCTCAAAATCGAGTCGATTTCATTTTTTCGGAATCAATTCCGAGTATACTTGACTTGAGTCGATTTGACTTGAGTCTACTTGACTTGAGTCTACTTGACTTGAGTCTACTTGACTTGCGTCGACTTGAGTTGAATCTACTTGACTTGAATCTACTTGACTTGAGTCTACTTGACTTGCGTCTACTTGAGTTGAATCTACTTGACTTGAGTCGATTTGACTTGAGTCTACTTGACTTGAGTCTACTTGACTTGAGTCTACTTGACTTGCGTCTACTTGAGTTGAATCTACTTGAGTTGAATCTACTTTACTTGAATCTACTTGACTTGAATCTACTTGACTTGAATCTACTTGACTTGGCTCTACTTGACTTAAATCAACTTGACTTGAGTCTACTTCGAGTCTACTCGGTAATTTTTTTGCCTTTGTCTTCTTTGTAACGATGTTAAGATGTTGCCTTTTGACTACATATTTTCTGGAACATAGGAATGACAATCATATGCCTAAATGGCATGTGATTGTTATAAATCAATGATGAACGCTTTAGAGCCGTTCACTTATTACATAACGCTCTAAGAAGGGGGAGCGGGGAGGTCTGAGATTTTGTGACAATTCAAACAAAAGAGATTTTTTTTCGTACAAACTTAATGGCAGGGGTTATAAAAAGTCATTTTTTGCGTTATGCAATAAGCGAACGGCCGCTTAATTTATTTGGCAATTCATAGTTTATTTTCTTGATTGTTTTTTCAACTTTTGATATAAATTTCAATTTTTATTTAATTTCCTTGACTCTCCTGGCTTGATTGACTGGAATTATCAGTCTGCTGTTGTTGCTGTTGTTGATCTAAATTCAAAAAAAAAAAGAAAAAACCAATTGTGTAAAGTTCAAAAATAAGATTTAAATATTTATAGGTCACAAAGCACCCACGCGTGTTCTCATTATCAGTTACGAAACAGCCCTTTAAATTATTTTTTGAACTTGAAAATTACCTTGATTATCATTTTCTGGTGCGCTTGGTTGAGCTTGTTGTTCCTGATGATGTTGAGGTCTAGCAAGGAAAACGATGCTGTTGGCTGATGTAAATGCAACCATAATTGCAACAAATAGCATGAAGAAATAAGTCAACTTCATTTTTAAATGGAGTTTTTTGATTTTAATTAATCGAAATTAAGTTAAAGACTGAAATCTGTGGTTGAGTTTTCATGATTTTAAATAAAATTTTATTAAAGACATCGAGTACTTCTGCGAGAGTGTAAAGTAAAAGAGAAGAAGTATGTAATGAGCAATGTAATGATTAAGAATTGTTTTGTTTATGGTTTTGAAACTAGAGTAAATATATGATTTTGAAAAAAGTTCATCAGGGATCGTTTGAAAATGATGTCAATCTTCAGACCTTTTTCTTTGAGCTTTTAAAAGTAAACATTATTATTGGGGGATAAAATAAGTTCCTGTCAGCTAGCAACGTTTGACAAGTTCGTATGCATTATTGTACATTATAAATACTTAATTATAAATTTAAGTAAATATGAAATTTAATTTCGAAATCTACGCCACTGGCTAGCATTATTATTGTGAGTAAAAAATGTCATTATCTCGTAGTGATTTTTTTCATCAGAACAGACGTTTCGTTTATTTATAACGTCTACTGTCAATATTTAGGTTGGAGGGGGTGGGAAGAAGGGGGGGGGGGGGTCCAATATGTTATGACATCTCAATACAAAAGAAAACTTTAATTTTTGAAAGACTTGTGAAAAGAGGGGAGTTGAGGGGGGATTAAAATCTAATTTTATGAAGCACGTCATATGTGAACAACCCCACAAGCGTCAGAAAATCTAAAATATACTAATATAGTTCAGTCAAGATCAGAAACATATTGTAAGTTTTGAAATATGCTGAAAATATTTGAATCAGACTTTCAATTTTCAATCATAATCTTTATCCTTCTATAATTCTATCGTACTAGCTGCTTCAGATCAATTATTAAAAAAATTACAAATAAATTTTATTTAAATTCTTTATTTAAAACAATTTAAATATTTACAAAATGTCAAAATAAACTTTATTTTTTAATTTTAATCATCAATTCTTAATTCTAAAAGTAGCTTTGCAGGTTCAAATTTTTTTAATTCAATAGCCTTGAGGTTGACGTTGTTGACCTAAAAATACAAATTGCGATGAAATTTAAACTCGTGACGCATCATAAATAAATTAATTTTAAGCACTACCTGCATGATAATATTGATCATAATAATGCTGCTCATGTTGTTGCTGGTCATGACGCTGTTGATCATGATGATGCTGTGCTCTGTGCTGCTGATGCTCTGAACGAGGTTTTGGAGGCTTAGCAAGAAATACAATACTACTGGCTGATGTAAAAGCAATCAAAATTGCAGCAATAAATATGAAGAAAAATGATAATTTCATATTTTTTAATTATTTGTTCTTTATTTATTAATTGAAGGAATGGAATGGATTTTTTGACTGAAGCTTAAAATAAATTTGGTTTTGTTTTTAAGGAAATGAGATGTTGATAACAGAACTCTCGTTGATTTGAGAGAGAAAATTTGGAACTCTGAGATTTTAATTGTAATTGGCAATTGTCCGTGTGTAGGGTCACGGGGGTCTGTTTGTTGATATTTTCGCAGTTTTAGCTCATCTTATGCACTATAAATTGTATTAAGTTCAATCATCACTAGGCTGAATAAAATTATTAAGAATTTGGTCTATTATGGTGGATGGCAAAGGCTTGGCTTAGATATGAAGTGACCAGCTACCTCCTTTCAGGAGAAGCGTGTAGAATTAATTATAAAATTTGTTAAAAGTTGTCAGGAAAGTCCATTGATTAGGTTGATGTTGTTATTGACCTTGATTAAGTAAATTGAAAAAATATAAATAAATGAAATTAAGTTAAATTATGAGTAAGGTTTCCACACAAGGGAGGCCAAGTGATCTGAACTTATCTGGTTGACCTTACCTGTTTGTTCCTCATCACGATGATGTTGAACTTTATTTTGCTGATGCTCTTTGCGAGGCTTTTGTGGCTTAGCAAGGAAAACTATGCTACCAGCTGAAGCAAATGCCATCAAAGTTGCAACAAATAAAACAAAGATATACGCAAAATTCATTTTTGTTCGTATTTTTACTGCCTCAAATTTAATTTAAAACTAGCTTTTAAAATTTTTTTGTTTCAGTTTTTAAACAAAATTTAATTTGATTATAAACAAATTCGTATTTTGTAAACAGCAGCAAAATTTGCGATACTATCGAAATGGGTTAAAACTTTTGTAGCTAAAAATCGCGAGTGAACGACCTTTGATTTATGACCAATTTTTTGCTGCGCCATAAATTTTCTCTCACTTTAAATAAAAGTTTTGTAAACAGTGCCATAAATATTAACAAAATTTTTACAACGACAATTTTTTCCAAGTTTCAGTAAATTTTATTGTTTTAAATGTTTTTTACATAAATTTTTAACAAAGCCCTTAGTCGTGTCGAAACAGTTCCACTACAATTTCATAAGCATGATTAGATCTTTCAATGCAATTTTATTCTTGTCAATGTTTGTGGTCGTGTTCTGTGCCATGTTCGTGACCTGCTTCATTATGACAGTCAACTCCATGAACATGTCCAGTATGATCATCATCAGGTCCGTGATCAGCATGATTGTGCTTATGAGTATGTGTATGGTTATGATGATGGTGTATGTGGCCTGGACCGTGACGATGTTTATGACCTGAATATAAGGAATACAATTAGATTTGATGTGTAAATTGATGAAATGTATTGTAGGATAGCTTAGGTTAGGGCACTCGACCTTTGCCAAAAATAATATAAATGCTTAGGTTTATGCCTTGGTAACTCAATATTTGAAGTTTAAATCACGAAATCAGTCGTAATAAAATGAACTCACAGGTTCAAATCCTCAATTTTTTACTGATAAGGGGAACGCTAAGCTCTCCTCGAGAATTGAGAGCTGTTTTTTAGTGTTATGCAATACTTAACCTCTTAGCATGAATCAAATCTTTTATTCAAAAATTTCCAACTCAAAATAAAGATTACGGAAAGATAATATAAAGAAATTTGAAATAATGCACTTGAGCAAGACGAAAATGTAATTGAAATCAATGAACTGAATAGTATGCATGACCTATGGGCCACACATGTATCGTATTGATCTTATATTTCTATAGATAACCTTACAAAAAACATTTAAAAATGCATCCAATAATCTATTGAAGGTGAGGTGTAGAATAAAGCCTACACTTGCAAGCAACTTTTAAAAAGCCTTAAATCTTCAAAAAAAAATTCTTACACCATCAAACCTTCAAACTTTTCACTTTTCCAACAAATCCATTAAATGTCCAAAATAAAGAATTTCTCAAGAAAAACAAAAATTTCCCGCTCTAAAAAAAGCTTAACCCGAAGCACTTTCTGCATTTAAAGGTAATAAATCTCACATCGCCCACTCATCGACATTGAGCTCAATTTTGCAATACTCAAAACTCATCTCAATTAAATTTGATGATTGTTCAATCAATCGTATTGATTAGTGGATTAATCCACAGACGCCACATAAATTTTCATATTCAAATAATCCGCAAATGGAAATTTCCAATTGTTCATTCAAATATTAGAGCTATCAATTACAATCAAGCTTCATAGACTGTAGGTAAATAAAAAGGGAATTTTATCGAAATAAAAAATGTGCTTTTTTTTGTTACCCTTGGAACGTGTTCGGTTTCTTCCGTGATGATGCGTGTGATTATGACCAACATGATTGTGATCGTCGAGCTTTGGCTGATCACTGGTTTCTACATTATCATCTAAAATTTAAAGAATATTATAATTTTTATTAGTCAATTGATTTTTTGTGTGCTTTATTGGGACAGATAAGGGGTTATTCACATATGGCATCAATCGTTTGTAGCAGTGTTGTCCAAACTGTGTGCCGCGGCACACTGTAATGGTGCCATACTTCTAAGGTGTGCCTTAGCGCAAAAAAGTTTGGACAACACTGATTTAGAGTGAAGGGGGTTCTGAAGAATCCCATTTTAGACGATTCCCAGCTTGGCAAGCAGTTATAGGACGTCCTGACACTCTTGTATGGCTAGCAAATGATCGAGGAACCAGCTCTGAGCTCGGAGTTGACATTAATTGAGTATTAATTTAATTTCACACCCTATATGAACTAAAAGCATCTTCAAAATTCTGTTATGACTTTACCAAGATATATAGATGAGCTCATACAGAGTATACTTGACCATACTCGACCATACTATTTTTTGTGTGCTTATACAAACAAAAATTTTTAAAATTTTCTATTTTCAAGTTTTCATTTAAATATCGACAGATGCAACAACATTTGTCTTAAGTCAGTTTCTTTAAATTATAGCAAAGCATTTGCAATACTCCTGTATCAACAAAACTTAACAGAAAGTTGAAAATTTTGCAAAACAAAAATTGAAAATTTTCTTTTATAGTGTTAGTGTTTTTAGAAGATTCAAATTTTTGACGTTTAAAAACTGCGATATTTTTGTATGAGCACATCTATATATCTTGGACTTTACTAAGCACAACATGTTCCCATCAAGCATTTTCCTTGCTTTTTAGAACACAATTCAGTTGTCCTATACAAAATTAAATATTATCAACTTCAATGTACTCCTGTCCCTATCTGTAAGCACTTAATGTCCCCCAAAAAAGATACTTCACTCAAAATTCATAATATTTCAAAATTTTATCCACCTCCACTTTTTTAAAAATAGAAAAAAATTACCAGCAGCAAAAACAGCAATTACTGCAACGAAAAGGATGAAGAAAAATGTCAATTTCATTTTTTTTTTGTTAATTTTCTTTTTCGTCTTGATTACTTAAAATGTTGTTACAGACTGATGTAAAAAAAGTCTTATTTGACTTTATAAATGAATTTTGATGATTGTTTAAAGGAGATTTTTAGATGAAATTTAATGAGAATATAAAGAGAGAATTTTTGTGATTTTGAATCTGGTCACAAAAAGTCTTTACTGCGATGATTATATTTTCTTATCACATGTTTGTAAGATCAGCTTTTAATGGGGTGACTAACGGCTTTTTGTAAAAATATGGGGAATTTCTATTTTGAATAAATATGTAAAGTGCATATTAAGGGTCATTTACAAATTTATTGAGGTAAAGCTTTTAACGACGGGAGAGAACAGGTTTTGTGAGAAGTGCAATAAACGGGTCAATAATGATAATGTGAAGGCAAAGCATTGCGATTCTGATTCCAGGGTTTAGTTTTAGCTTTAATCATTTTTGAAGGAGTCTCGGGATGACCAACCAATGTGTTGCTACTCATCGACTGTTTAATATCAAGGTGTGTAAAAAAGGTTGGCTATTACTGCTCTAGAGTACAACAGTTGGAATAAAAGAGGTTTTAAGATGGAGGAGGGGAGAGGAGGGAAGGGGGGGAGTTTGAAAACACAATATTTGGTAAACGTTCTTACTTATCTGCATGAAAATGATTCGAAAATGCAGTTAGATTCTTAATGTCACAATATTTATTTATGGGCACCCTACTTATTTGCCGTGGTAACTAAAATATTCTTTATTTATTTTAAATTTCAAAATAAACAAACCTAGAAAATTAAATTTGTATGAACCTTAAATTTAAAATTAAGCAGAAACTGAAGTTAATTTCGAAAAATCTTAAACAAATCCCTTGAAAATGTCATTTTAGAGTTTAATACTTCATTCCTGTTTACAATTCCAATCTCATCGGCATTTTGAAATCGTCTCCTCAGCAAATTATGGTTTTATATTTAAAAGAAATATGAAAGATTCCCTGTAAGTATGGAAAAAACTCAAATTTAAATAAACATTATTAAAACTTATTTAATTAATTAAATTTCCAATCATTTCTAGTTTCACATCACTTATCTTAATTATACTGCAATTCGCAACTTCATCGCGTATAGAATGCATTTTTAAAATGACTAATTATCATGTATTGGGGATTGCCTATACTTGCCAATTTAAGGACGCCTTGAACATTACATCACCTGACAGTTTTTTCATTTTTTCATCAACTGGAAATCATTTGGACTTAAAATCTTATGATGATGTTCTAGGACTTAATGCCAAAAATATGAAAATTCAATATTTTCCAAAAGGTCTAGAATTGATATTCAAGAATCTTAAGGCAATAGACCTACAAAGAAATGGACTCAAAGAACTTTATCAATCGGACTTAAAGCCATTTAAAGGTTTAGTTTACCTTGATTTAGGAGTTAATGACATTGAAGTTTTAGAAGATGGAGTCTTTGACAACAATCCACACCTCGAAGTTATTTCTCTTTACAGCAATAAAATCTATCAAATTGATTTGCATGTTTTTGATTCATTGAGCAAGCTTAATTACTTAGTTCTGGATAAGAATCGTTGTATTAACAAAAGTTCGCGATTTGACTTATTAGGTGTACAGGAAATCATTCAAAATACTAAGTTTATGTGTCAAAATTCAGAGTTCATGAAAGGACGATCAATGATGCAACGAAGATGCTCAAATCATGATGATTCATCAAGTTTGAAGATTCAACTTGAAAGCATTGAAATTAATTTACAGAACAGAATCAGTGAGCTTAAGCAAGTTGTCGATGAATTGAAAGATTGTCGATGTAAAATGAATTTATAAGAACAATAAATGAATAAACAATTCAGAGTCGATTTAAGACTTGTGTTCAATAATTCACTTAAAAGCACAATCAGTTCCTTATAAGCTGTCGATTGAAATCATTCATTGATTAAAATCCCTGCGAATAAAATGAATATTTTAATGTAAGTATTTTTTTAAAAGCAAAATCTTTCAAAACTTAAATAAACTAAATATTCCAGCTTCATGTCATGCATCATATTGTGCTTCGGACCGACTTTGTCTCTGAACCTAGAATGCACCTTCAAAAATGAATATTTTCTTGGATTTGGAAATTTGTACTACTGCGAATTTACAAGGAACCTAGACATTATTTCATCGGACTCTGCTTACATTGGCTCATCATCTGGAGTCCATTGGGGAGGCAAAGACAATGACGATGTCCTCGGCATTGACGGAAAAGATAAAAACATCAAATATTTCCCAAAAGGATTAAACTTAATCTTTAGAAATCTAAAAGCAATTGATATTGAAAGTGGTAAAATTATGGACCTTTATCAGTCCGACTTGCGATCCTTATGAAAAATTAGAATACCTTGATCTTGGTAATAATGACATTGAAGTGCTAGAAGATGGAGTTTTTGACTATAATTCAAAACTTAAAGTTATTTCTTTGTCTGGAAATAAACTTTATCATATCGATCCTTATGTTTTTAATGGATTGCGTAGTCTTGAATATTTGGTTTTAGAAGGCAACAGGTGCATTAATGAGAGTGCCAGATTTGATATTACAGCTGTAAGCAATATCATTCAAAATACAAAAAGCATTTGTCAGAATTCTGAATTTTTGAAAGGAAGGCTGTTGCAGCAACAGAAATATTCGCATAATTAAATTATATATTTTGAAAATGCTGATAACATTTGCTGATATAAGCACTGAAGCCTCATCAGTTAAATAAACAATAGCAAACTCTAAAGAGGCGATTTTAATAAAATGAATGCAAAATTCAATCTTCCGGGTGTGTAAAATATTACAGAAACTACAAAGACTAGATGACAACATTCTGAACTGATTGACAAAAAAGCAGCTGTGCTTACCTAAAAATAAACAATGACGATGATGAAAAAAAAAAGAAAATTGACATTAAAAAGATGAGATAAGAAGGTCACACGAAAGTTCATAAAAATCATAACAATTTTGTTACGTGATGATGTCGCATGAAACTTGCAATTATATCTCCATTCACATTTTTTATTTCTACAAAATTGTCCGTTCCCTTCTTATTTTTAGGTCAAGTTATAACTGTCACGTGTATTTATGAGCAGTGTGGGAGAAATGTTTCAGATCCATTAGACCCATTGGTAATTAAACTGTTTTAATTGCTTCCAATGAGATGTATTTCTTGTAGGATGTTATTTGGGTCATGTGATGCTTACTTTGACTAAGTGGGTGTGTGTGACTTGCTTGGTATTAAAGGCGATCTGAGTTTCAGCATGATTTGATCAGTTGCTTGACTTTCTCAGCTTGATTCTATGAAATGTGACTCACCTACTTACTGTAGCCATGTTCCTATAACATAGGCTATAAGAAAAGGCTTTCCATCTGACTCTGTTGCTGGCTCTGTCATCTGATTTGCAGTCTAAACCTAAGTGTCGCAAATTTGACCAGATTAAACTAGATTAGACAATATTTCACGTCCCTTCACACCAAATGCGCTTTATCAACTCCATAACTTCCTTTCAGCTGACTTTCTTACTTGCAATTTTCATTTCTCATTTGACACTGAAACAAATTTTTCCTCTTTTTATTTGTGAGCAAAGTTATATCTGCTCGTTCCATATAATCGTGCACAGTCATGTCTTGGAACATCACTCGTTAAACAAACCAAGACCAAAATGCATTCATCATTCAAATGCGGAGCTGTTATCAGTCGAGCAGGAAATTAATAAATGTTGAGTTATATTGTAAATTAAATAGTGTGACCATTATAATGTAGCAAACAGCAAATAACATAAATTTTATTATGAGTAGTCATAATATTGGACCTTTAACCATTATATTTTATCATATTTTGTGTTGTCATGAATAAAAATACCAGAAAATTTGTTTTGACATTGCTGGAAATAAAAACTACTATTTTTCGGATTAAATGGGCCATAAGCTCCTCTCACTTACCGTATACACATACTAAAAGCTATAGGCGTGGAGCATTCAATGCCATTTAGCAAATAGAATAGGAAGGAAAAAATGGTGAAGTGTGAAAAGACTTACGATACGTGAATGAAACAAAAAGGAGGAAGTGCGTAGGAATAAGTTGGGAAATTTTTGAGGTATCAGAGATCTCCTTTAAAGAAGCAGTTCTGATTCTTTTTATTAAAGTTTGAACTATATTTCGTTTTATTCGATTTGAGTGGACTAGAATCGACTAAGGATGACTAGATTAGACTAGGTTCGACTAGGTTCAACTAGATAAGACTATATTGGACTAGATTGAACTAATCTAGAGTAGATTAGAATTTATTGGACTAGATTGAACTAGTTTGGAGTAGCTTAGACTATATTGGACTAGATTGATCTAATTTAGAGTAGATTAGACTATATTGGACTAGATTGAACTAGTTTAGAGTAGATTAGACTACATTGGACTAGATTGAACTATTTTTAAGTAGATTAGTCTATATTGACTTTGTTGAACTAGTTTTGAGTAGCTTAGACTATATTGGACTAGATTGAACTAGTTTAGAGTAGATTAGACTATATTGGACTATATTGAACTATATTGAACTAGTTTAGAATAGATTAGACTATGTTGGACTTGATTGAACTAGTTTTATGTGGGTTAGACTATTTTGAACTAGATTGATTACTTTTTAAGTAGATTCGACTATTTTGAACTAGATTAAACTAGTTTTATGTAAGTTAGACTATTTTGGACTAGATTTAACAATTTTTAAGTAGATTAGTCTATATTGACTTGGTTGAACTAGTTTTGAGTAGTTTTGACTATATTGGACTAGATTAAACTAGATTAGACTAAATTAAATAACATAAATTTGAATCCAGACCAAAAATAATTAAAGTGAATCTATGTTTATTCTTATCCCATTTACCTCCACATTGTTATACGCCACAAAAATATCAACAATATTTCAGACAATTGGACCTTTTTCCGCACATAATTGCGCACAATGTGCCAAAAAGAATCGAGTAAGGGTAATAGGAAGTTGGCACAAAATGAATGTTATGTTGTAATAATTTTATTGCATCATTATCTTTCTTTTTGTGTATATGTGTTGCCATCAAAGTAATTTCAGGCACTCTATTCTCTCCATTTCACTTCCTCTTTTTGTATTCTTTTCAATTTTCGTTCATTGTGCTTTTATTTTTTGAATGGCACAATTTAAAAAGAGTTTAAAGACGATAAAGAGAATAAGACGAGGATGAAAAGCAGTTGAACTTAATTTTGTCTTCAATACAATCATGAAATAGGGATGAGAATAGAAGAAAATATTCTCGTGGCTTCTCATACGTACAACAATCCATTCACTGCTTTCTCACTTCAAACATTTTTATACTCTACATTTTTTAAAAATTCCATAGTGCAGTCACAATGCGAGCAATGTAATCCAAAATTAAATTGAATTAAATTTTCATTCATTTTATGTGGATAGGAAGGAGGAGATTTGTTACCATGACATCACATGTACGGATATACCTTAACATGTATGTCAACGATTCTTCATTTAAACATTTCATTCATTCATCGAGTCTTTTTATGGATTGAGTTTTAAGATGTAACATTTATACAGAGAAACTCATAAAAAGTACAACGACAAAGTAGTTTTAATTCTGAAAATATTTGTAATGCATAATATCATTGAGTGAAGTTTTGTTGAATTTTTGGGTGGAATGATGTGGTCTTGGGTATGGTAAAATAAGAAGATAACAAAAATTGGTAAATTTACATCTCAAATGTACATTGATGTGTAAATTTGATATGTAAAAAAAATTCTCACCTCAAAAAGTATTTTGATGAATTTTATCATTTAATTAAAGAATTTCAATCGAATTTTTATTGATTTTCAAAGAAAAAAGTGGCAAAAACTTGACTATAAATGCCGCAAACCTTCCAATCACCTTCAAAAAATCCAATAGCAAATATTATCGTAATCTAAACGAAACATTCCACCACTCGAAATTTTCTCACATTTCCTCGACTATCTAGATCACTCAATAATGCAGAGTAAATATTCCAGTAGTTAACAACTTTCTCTCTCTTTCCATCCTTCCGTTCATTCAAACAAAATCGAGTCGAAGTACGTCCGAACAAGATGTGACCTTAATTGAATGCAACATCATCATATTAAATTAAGTTTACTGTCATAATACTCAAGTGGGAATGAGAAGAGAGAGAGCAGAGACAAAAATTGCAAGAAAATTTTCAACCACAACTGAGGAGTTTGTCTGTAGTTTTACTTAAACTGTGTTATGTTCAATGAAAATGAATTAGATACGCTGGCTGATTGAGATTATGGGTTGGTGATGATGTGAATGATGTTAATTAAAATATATTAACATTATTTTACAGAATGTGTGGGAAGTGAAGCGGGTATAGTGGGTGGAATATGGAATATTTAGATTAAGACAAATTTTTGGTTTGAGTAATATTTAAAAAAAGTTAAAAAAGCTCAAGGTTAGGGATCTGCAGCCCCCTCTTAAGTAGAACATAAGCAAGGCTCTATAGCCTATACTGCCTCCAAGCTACCACTATAATGCAAGCTTCACTGTGTCATCCGAGAGCATCTCATTGAAAGCTTGCATTCGTCAGTTTTGAAGATGTCTCCAGCAGTCTTCAGAAGCGACTTGATTATATTCTTCATGCCACAATTCTTTAGATACATCTTCAGATCTGATTTTGGGTCTTCGTGACTTCCTAATGACTTTACAAAAGAAGTTTGAGTTCCAGTCAAAAATGTATCGACAGCCAAAATTTTTTATTGAGGATATCCACTCCCAAGCGAGTCGCAGTGCTGCTATATTAAAATCTTGATTGCTTCTCCTCGAATTATTATTTATGAACGCAAACATCAAGAAACCACAAAAAAAATGAGTGCCTCATTTGAGTCGCGTACCCATCAATTCCATGCTTTATAGCCGCATCAATATCCCGTTTGACAAAATATCTTTTTATGACATGTTAATTTATAGCCCGATTAAAGGTCAATGTTGAACATAAAAAATGTGTCCCGTCTTAAGCTGCAATTGTCGAGAATTATTGCACATTTCCCACATTTATTTCCATCATTTCACAGCTTACATGAACGTCGATAAAAAAAAGCGAGAATGTAGCGAAAAAAATATCGAAATTTCCATCTCATTATCGCATTGATTGGCCATAAATTTTCAGCGATGATCGAAAAAGTTACCCAGAAAAAGTTTATTTCCTCTTCGTCAAATCGTAAAAAAAAAGTTTCAAATGTGCCACAAAAAAGTCTTTTTTATTTCTCGCCATTCTTTTACACTTGCACAATACCTTTATCGAGATTCTTTTTTATCGATTTTCACTCCTTCCATTGCTGTTGCTATAAACGAGCGGAAAAATTTTAAAGTTAATTTTTCATTTTTTTCTCATTCCTTCCCTTCCGTTGCTTTCTTGTTCCGCATTGGAATTCTTTCGCATGGATGTGAAAAATGTTGCAGAAAAGAAGAATGAAAATTCTTTTCGTTCCATTTTTAAGCCCCATTTTTCATTATGTACTTTTTTTTGACGACTTGGGTTGGTGGGAAACATGTCTTAAGGTCAAATGTTTGGTTTGCCAATGGATTATTATGATTCGTTGGGTACGTAAAAAGTTTTATTAAGTCATAAATGTATGAATGTTGCTATGGGTAGATTTTAGAATCTGGTAATATTGATTTAAGTTCGTTCATAAGTTCTTAGTTGCTAGCGCGTAGCCAGAAGAGTCTTGCCCCGTTTAAGCATTTTGAACTATAACTAAAGCACGAGAGGGGGGGGGGGACAAAGCCCTCCTGGCTTTTCGCCTGCTTAGTTGTTATATCGAACAACCAAGTATAGGATTGGTTCAGTATGACATCAAACATATCAAACCATTTATATGCGAATCTGCAAGTATAAGAATTGTGACTTTGTAGGCTGGTGATTAAGGCACAGACGGGAAGCCTAGTCGAGTTCAGTTTTGTTGTAATTATGTGGTTTCAATTCCTACAAGATTGGCATCGATTTCGGCGATATGTTAATATTTATAGGATAATAATTTGAAAAGCTATTGAGCCAGAACTCATTGGGTTACCTTTGTTTACCTAGCAAAGGAGGCAAATTTTGTGCCAAAGACATCAATACTACACCCAACACACGAACCGAGCTTCGAAACTAGAACTGTGAAATGGAAAAATAGCTTCGTAAATTAAACATGGCCTGGGATTGAACCCAGGACCTTTCGCACAGAAGGCTAATGCTGTATCATTTAGGCCACTGATGCCATTTCACCGCTTATTTCATACTTAACTACAATCAACATTTTTCAACAATCCTACCAGCACACACCCCTAAAAAAATAAACAATTTAAAAATTTCTTTGCATTGTCGGACGGCGTATTAATGATGCGATCAAAAAAGAAGAGGATAAATGAGAAAAAATAGAAAAGAATCTCTCATGCTTAATGTCGGCGAGGGTGTATTTATCTCCATCTTATCATCTTCTTATTTGTACTTAAAAACACTTAAAATAAAATGATAAAATAAGCGGTTTTTTTAAAACACAAATGGTGAAAATGAGTGAAAAGAATGATGGGAAGGAAGATAAATTATTGAGTTTAATTCATCATGATTGTGATAATTTTCTTTTTACTTTCATTCACATTGAGTTCTGTCTTTCAGTTGTCCACTATGGCTGATTTTATTTTATTCTCTATCCCATCCTCGTGACCTCTTTTCATTTGTTTTATGATTTTTTTTTTGCAAAGTTTAATGAAGGGGTTAGGGGATGTGGTAGATGGTATTGCTGCTGGTTGATGGACCTGCTTCGAAGTTCTTTGTTTGTATGTCAGCTTGTACCAAGAGATCATTAATGAAAGATCTAATAGTAATGCATCTCATTTTTTTCATTCCATTTCTCGCCGTACATAACAGTCAATGCACAAAACGAAATTGTTCTCATTTTTGTATATCACTGTTTCATTGCATTTCCTCGTCTTCCTCATTTCTAATTGTGTTGTTAT